GGGCAGGAATCCCGGCTGTATCTGTAGGTATTAACATGTTACCCTGGGNNNNGGGGGGGGGGGGAGCCACGTGAAGACAGGACCCGGGGAGCACGGGACGCCCTCAGCACAGCTGGGGCCTGTTTGGCGATGGGCGTGTGGCGTGATGGCAGCCAGGCTCCGCGCTCAGGCGTGAACCCCTCGCTCAGGAAGCGGGGCGGCCCGGCTCCTCGTAAAACCATCTTCCCCGCAGCCGGGAGTCCACAGGACGCTGGGCTGCCCTCCCCGCCTCCCGCGCGCCCCCTGGGAGCTGGCCCAGTGTCTGCGCCCACAGCTCAGGAGGGGCCCCTCAGCGGGCCCGCCCGGCGCTGGGAGAGGCACCGTCGCCTCCGTTCGGGAGCCGCTGTGGGGCCCTGCGTGGGCCAGACTGGAGGGTCGTCTTCTGCATGTAGGCTGAGCCGTTCCGTTAAACAAAAAACTTCCCAGGCCCTGGCCGGGTAGCTCAGTTGGTTAGAGTGTCATCCGGACACGCCGAGGTTGCAGGTTCGATCCCCAGTCCGGGCACATGCAAGAAGTGGAGCAATAAGTCGACATCTCTCTCTGTCTCTCTTCCCATCTCTCTCTAAAATCAATTTTTTTTTAAATCCTCACCCGAGGATATTTTTTCCATTGCTTTTCAGAGAGAGGAGAAGGGGGGAGAGAGAGAGAGAGAGACATTGATGTGAGAGACACATCGAGTGGTTGCCTCCTGCTCACGCACCGCCCGGGGTGGAGATCGAGGCTGCAACTGAGGTATGTGCACTTCGCCAGAATTGAACCCACGACCCTTCAGTCCGCAGGCTGATGCTTTAACCACTGAGTGACCGGCTAGGGCTCGAAAACCCATTATTAAAAATTTCCCAAAAGAATTCTTCCTCAGTGTTTCTCTGCACATTGAGATACTACGGAGACAGGGTCCCCTTAAATACGAGTTGCGACGTTCACGCCTGTCCTGGGACCGTGAGGGGCCTTTGTGCGTCACACACCTTAAAAAGAGACGGCAGAGCACAGGTTGTCACAGTGGTTACAAACTTACGGTGGCCCCACGCTTTGTCACAGAAGTACCGGCACTGTGGATTTTCATGCATGTCACTGTCATTTCTGAATCGTGTGCCTTTCAGGGCTCACGGTCACCCCACAGGACTCCCCTCTGAAAAGAACAGCATCTCCGATGAATCGAGTCCTGCCTGGTTCTTACCTGGGACATGAAACTGAGAGGTGCTCTCCAGGGCCATTCCGGCCTGTTCACCCAGCTCACCTTTCCCGTCCCACCCCTTTCCTCTAGATGGTGTCCCCCGGCCTGGTCCCAGGGCGTCCTGTGTCTGTCTGCGCTCTGCTTTATGGAGCCCTCTTGGTGTCTCGTTACCACTAGCAGACCCAGCCCGGGCTTCCTCTTCCCGAAATGGGCCCGAAGCCATTGCCTGCCCCTCTCACGAGCCCTGCGGTTCACCCACCGCCTCCCAGCGCCGTGTGGGGTCTTCTCCCGACCACCTGTGACAGGTGACGGCCGTTCCGAGTGATTATTTATGTCGTGACTTTTGGGGAATTCTTTGGCTTATTTATTCACAGTTCTTTGTGTCTCTCCTTCCGTACCTCCCAGATGAGCAGAAATAAATTTAAAAATAGATATAGATATAGATATATATATGTGTATGCATATATATATGTGTATATATATATATGACTTGTTTGACCCCAGTGTATAGAAATGCAGTTAACATTCATCATCTTGGTCCTGTCTTGCTATCAGGGTCCCTCCTAATTTGCAGACTGTTTGGGGTTTCCTCCGCGAGCAGCCCTGTCACCCGTGAGGGACGGTTCTGCGCCTTTATCGGTCCAGCCTTAGATCTTCGCTCTCTGTTCTGCGTCGCTGTGTGGCCGGCGGGGTGCCAGCGAGCATCTTTGCCCTGGGCGCCCTTTCACGTGCAGTGATTGCTTCTAACGTTTCGTCACTGAGAACTGCGACGAGGTGGGGGCCGGGCCGGGGCTCACTGTCCCCTGCAAGGGAGTCCCCCCCCCATTCCCACTTTGGTAAGAGATGGTAATCGTTTCCTTTCTTATTAAATGTTTTCCCTTCTCCGACTTGGGAGTCACACGTTCTGTTTCTCCCCTCGTAGGGTCGACCCTGGTCCTGTGTCCTGTGTCCTCAGCTCCTCACTCCCCTGGAGCAGGACGGAGCCCCGGGACCTTGCACCCCAGTCTCCTCGCCTCCGCTCCCAGCCCCCCGGTATTCACACCCTCCCCAAACTAGACGTCGTTACGAGCAGGATTTGCCGTAGTTTTTGTTTGGATGTATCTACGTATTTGACTTTTCATTTGCTCACCGACCCTTCTGGCGCTAACCTTTCTAGAACCTTCTGAAGTGCGCCTTTTAGAGAGTAGCTCCTGTAGTGAGGCCGGTCGGTAATGGGCGCTTTCCTTTTATTTTTTCTTTGTATGGAAATGTCTTTATTCCACTCTTTCCTGGGAAGAGGGTTCTTGCGGATCCCAGTTCTAGGCGTCACTTCCCTCGGCACTGAGGCTGTTACCGCTCCGTCCGCAGGTCGCCCGGTTCCTCCCGAGAAGTCGGCGTCCGTGTTACTGACCTGTGTTTAGCAGGAACCGGCCTTTTTTTGCCTCGTTGGTCTTTTGGTCTTCGGTTTCCCGGTTTTGTTGGCTTCGGGTGCGGTTTCCTTGTGATAAGCGTCCTTCTGGGCAGACGCCGTGCCTCCCGGGACGCGGGGTCCACCCCTCCGCCCCGGGGCTGCTGCTTTCGGCACCCGCCCGCGCACCTCGACCTGCCCCACAGCCACGACGGTTTTGCGGGAGGTGCCCACCTTCCCTACCTTCGGGGACCCTTCAGAGCCAGTCACACAGGTTTAAGCCCAACTCCCCAGGAAGTTAAAGTCTCACAGCAGCGATGCCGGATTTACATGGAACCCAGTACCTTATGATCGGGGCGAGTGAAGATTTCACGCAACGGCGTCCTGGCCCCGCTTCCGTGGCCACGCAGGGTGGCTTAGGTGGCTGTGCGTTGAAAAGGACACGATCCTCCCCTTCTCGGGCCCTGTCCCACCCCCTGGGGCCAGTGGGGTCAGGCGGCAGGGGTGCCTCAGCCACAGTGGGGGCTGCTTCTCTCCTGAGACCGACGGGAGGGAGGTGGGCCGGCTGGACGTGGCTGTGGTTGCTTCGGGGACGAGCCGAGTGAGCATCTTTGCCTGGAGGTCAAGGGCTCCTGATGAAGTTGGGTCTCGAGAGCCCAAGAGCAGCAGGGAGCCCAGCAGAGGTCAGGGGTCGTGAGGGTGCCGGGGAGACAGGCGAGAGCAGGGGGTGGGGGGCCGGGGGGCCGC